AACCAATCATACTACTGTAAATACAATCTCGAGTCATGCTCACACCCCTGTCAAAATATATTTCTTTGCACAATACATGCCATTGCCCATCATGGCCAGCCCAATACAGAAGCTGTAGATGAGTATCCTGTAATTTCATATACACTAGGGGCCTTATTAAAACTTAATTTAAATAAAAACCAGATTATAAGAAATACAGTAATCTGATTGGATAACAAAACTAAATTTTAAATCAATTTTAGTGATTGACCAATCAGATGACAGGATGATTATAATCATCTTGAGTTAAGTTTTCGAAAATAAGGACCCAGGGTTAGCTAAGACTAACCCTTTTATTTTTAGGTAGGGATGGTCACAGGATGTCGTGGGGACAAATTGGCTGGGCCATTGCGTTTAACTTCTGTAGGGGGATTGAGGAGACAAAGTCCCTTGAAGCTGAAAGATATCTGGTGTGTTTAATGGTTAATAACCTACCTCCTGTATAAAACTATAAAGAAAAGGACCAGCTGAAATGACCTGATGCATGTCTAGAAATGTCTGAACCTGATTGACTACAGCTACCAACTGTTTCTTGGCTATCTCTAAAGCTTTCTCTAATGTTGACACATTATTTCTATAATAGTAAATATTTCAATGGTTAAAGAGATTGTAAAGAGGTTTTCTAAAATTTTGTATGTGTATCAGGGACACTGATAGCATCAATTTACACCATTCCAATTTTCAATCAGACGTCTGTGGTTCCTGCCATTCTACAAAATTTATTGTCTTCAGTGACTGCAATGCAGGAATTTTGAATTAAATCTTTCGGTTGAAAAGAAAACGAAATGAATGGAGTTTTTCTTCCTGCTTTTCTGCACCTAATTGGGAAAATGAAGACAGACCATGCCATGCAGTGTGCAAAGAGAGAAATTTTGCAAGGACAGCCTTCAGTTGAAAGAAAGATGACCCAAATGTAGATCTGGTATATTGGTCAAAGTGCCAAATATTGATGAAAAACATGCAAGCTAACTAAATTCCTTAGACCTAGTTCAATAACATAGAATTTATTACAAATTAAGGGCAATAACTCTACAAAATAATTTTACTTACCTATTCAATACATCTAGTGCATTAAGAAAATTATCATTCGGAGACTTTCCTTTTTCCTAAAATAAATCAGTCAAAACAACCAAATGACATTGAAGTTTTTATATTACACGGAAATGAACTATAGACTAATATGCTAATAGTCCTTACTCATGCATCAACCATGATGAATTCAGAACAAGATTCATAATACAAACAAACAAACATAAAGGCAACATTGTGTCACTGCATAAAATAGCCACCTTAATGTTTTTAACGCCTCCTTCTCCAATCTCGCTGTTGATAGAGTGTTCATCTAATTGAAAATTTGAATGGTGCAAATTGATGGTATCAGTGTCCCCAAAACACTTAAAAAGACTGGACATTGAAATTTATGGACTTTTACGTTCTACTTTTAAAATGACTGGATAGCCTCTTTACAATCTCTTTAGTAAAATTATCATTCTCTATTTTCTATACTGAATATAAAGAGAAACTTACAATAGATTCTAAAACAGAGGCAGTGGCATATACTACATCAGCTGCTGCTAGTTTGTTTTTAAAACCATATTGAGCAGAGAACGACGGAACTACTACATCTTGCATGTTTAATCTGAAATAATACAAGGAAGATATGAAATGGAGTTTTACATCCAACTGTTCTATACACTATCAGGTGACAACAAGAAACACCATACTGTGTGCAATTAGGGAAAAGCATGATTAAACTGAAATAATACAAGAAGATATGAAATGGAGTTTTATATCCTATTTTTATGATAAATTGAGGAGCATTACCTACATCTTAGCACCAATATTACCAACAATAATGATCTTGTATAATACTGCATCATANATCATTCTCTTTTGTATCAGAT